TTTGCCTGATGGGCTTGCTTTGTTGAGGGGTCCTATTAAGTCCACTGCTACCCTACTAAAGGGTTCCTCAATTATGGGAAGGGGGTGTAGCTTGGCCTTGCGCCTGTTCCCCCTTTTCCCCACCCTTTGGCATGTATCGCAAGTGTTGCAATACCTGCGCACTTCCTGGCTAATTCCAGGCCAAAAGAAACTTTGTGTTAACCTGTGCCGGGTCCTGCTGACCCCTAAATGTCCAGATAGCAGAATGTCATGCGCTATCCAGAGTAGCTCTGCCCGGTACTGCTGTGGTACCACCAACTGTCTCATCACGATCGGGTCTGACCCGGCTACCTGCTTATCCGTCTCCCTGTATAACAGCTGTTTGTCCCAGATAAACCTTTTGCCCTCTCCCACGGGAGCGTCTGCCGTCACCTTGTCTCTATACACCTGCAAGGTGGGGTCAGTCACTACCTCAGCTGCAAATTCGTTAGGAGGGGCCCAGGGAACACAGTCTAGGGAAGGGGAAGGATCTCTTACCTGAACCTCCGGGAATGTGTTGTAGTCCTGGGTGCGGGCCTGTTGTCGGGTGACCACAGGGTGAGCTTCTCCGGTGGTGGTTGTCTGGGGCTCAAAAGCAGACGTGAGCCTCCCCAGATCATTCCCCAATAACACCTCCGCCGGTAACTGCGGCATCAACCCCACCTCCACATGCCCTGTCCCTGCTCCCCAATGTAAATGTACCCTTGCTGTAGGTAGCCGGTACACTGCTCCCCCGGCTACCCGGACGGCCACAGTTTTACTTAATTTCAACTGATCCGGAACCAGGTGACTCTTTACCAGGGTGATCGTAGCTCCTGAGTCACGTAGCCCTTGGACCGCTTTACCCTCCAGGTATACAGTCTGTCTGTGATGCTGTCGGTTATCAGCATTGGCCTGGACTGGATCCGCCTCATGTAGTACTTCCCACTGTTCCACGGTGGTAATGGGAACTGATGAACCATATGGTGTGGCTACTATATCCTGGTAGTGGTGGGCTGCGGCTGCTCTTGGTGGTGGTGGCGGGCCTGGACGGATCCAGGTGGAACGGTCCCGCAGCTGTGGGCATTCCCTTTTATAATGTCCTCATTTCTGGCAGTGATGAGAGGGGCCAGACGTGAGCTGGTGGAAACGTGTCTGTGCACAAGTGGTGGTGGTGGTGGTGGTAATTGTCTCGGTGGAGCTGGGGTGTAGGTGGTTCCCCCAAAGGTTTTAAAAGTGGCCTTTGGAGCTGCAGGTTTTTGCTGCCTGCGTGCATCCAGGTACTCATCTGCCTTCCTGACAGCTTCAGTGAGGGATGTAGGGTTTCTGTCCCTTACCCACTCCTGGACATTGCTGGTTACTCCCTCATGGAATTGCTCCATCAGCATCATCTGGATTAAATCCTCCATGGACCGTGCCTTGCTCGCTTGCACCCACCCGAGTGCTGCCCTTTGTAACCTGCATGCCCACTCTGCGTGTGAGTCTTTCTCCACCTTCTTTAAATCCCTGAATCTCCGCCGGTATGCTTCGGGTGTTATAGCATACCTGGCCAGTATAATTTCTTTAACTTTGCTGTAGTTTCGGATTTCCTCATTGGGTACAGTACGGTATGCCTCTGCTGCTCTCCCAGTTAGCCAAAATAGGTACCCACTCCTCTGTGCTGATTCTATGCAGGGCACACAGTCTCTCAAAATCCTGCAGGAAAGCGTCTATATCTTCCTCTGCCTCCACATACGTTTTAAAAGCCTGGTATGGTATCTTCGGCTTACCTTCTTTTGGCACATTTACTGCAGAGCTGCGTTCTGTGGCTGCTGTTTTTGTCTGTTGTCTGTTTCCTTAAGATGAATTCCTGGACCTCTGTCATAGTCTTTGAAATAATCTCTGCTGGAGGGTGTTCCCCATAAAAAGACAGCCTAAATTGTAGCTGCCTCTGGAACTTCATCTGTTCTTGTGTTTCTCCCGAATCCCCCTGTTCGGGAACCGAATCGCCATCCATTTGGTACTCTGCCATGAGTTCAGTAAAGAGTACCGCTCTTGTTGCTGGCTTGTATACCCCTTGCCTCCAGGAGGTCCTTTAGCGTGGAGCGTTTTAGCGTGGCAAAATCAATCTCCATCCGTACTCCATTTATGCTTGTTCCTCTGTGAGTCTGGATCCCAGCGCTGCCAACCAATGTAGCGGAGATGCAATATTCCCCAGGTTATCTCCGCTTATAATCCAAGTGAGGCTCAGGAACAAGTAAATTGTAAATCCACAGGCAAGGTTTCCAGCAGGCAAAATAACACAGCAGTATCCCAGCAGCAATCCCAATAACTGGACAACACACAGTTTCAGGAGCAGAACTAAAGCTTTATTCAGACAGTGGCCTTTTAAAGCCTGCTCCCATGCAAGGGAGGGATTTTCATTCATTAGTACAGTAGCCAATCCTGTTCTGGTAACCTCCCACACCTCTCCTTCCCTCAGCCTGCATCATAATCCCCTTATCCAGTACACCAATTCCCCCCGTTCCTGGATGTACCCCTAACTTAGGGGTACCACTTTAAATCATACATCCCTGGTAGCCCTGATCTGGGTGAACAACATATCCAGAAATCACCCAGATCAGACCAGGGGTTCGGGAAATTTATGGAGGGAATAAAATGACCGACCGCACTGGGTGAAACAGCCGAATGTGGTTCCATGTGAATGGGCCCTGCGGTCGGTCCTGGAGTCAGGGAATAAATGGCATGAAAACCTCTAGCTATAGAGGCTAGGGAGGGTTCGCCTGAAGCCCCTCGTTCGGTTCTTTCTATCTACCGAACGAGGGGCCGTTCGGTAGTTAGGAACGAACGGACCGGGCTTGTGGAGGTTTCAGCGGTGTTCGCCTAGTCGAGTGTCCAATTTGAGTTCCAGACACTCGACGGCAAAACACCGCTGTTCGGGAGTTTTAAAATGGCCGCCGCCACGTGTTCGTTTTTCGAACCCTCTAACATTCAGACGAATACAATACATTAAATACATAGAACTTTGCTGTTTTCACACAAATGCATTAAAATACATGAAATTCTCAGGACAGCCCAGGGCCATCCGCTACAGTATGTGTGTGTGTAAGTGACGTACATATAGGAGGTGTAGAGAGTGTGTTTAGGCTATGCAGTGTGTGTTTTTTGCGTTCAAGGAATACAGTGTGTGCATAGGGGATCCAGAGTGTATGTCCAGAATAAAGTGTGTATGTAGGTGGTGCAGTATGTGTCTAAGGGCAATCTAGTGTTTGTAGGAGATCCAGAGTGTGGATGTAGTACAATGTGTGTATAATGGATGTAGTGTGTGTGTGTGTGTGTGAAGGGTGCTGTGTGTGTGAGGGTTCTGCGCTAGTGTGTTTGTGTGTATAAGAAGTGAAAATGGTCTATGTTGTATGTGGGTGGGGTAAAATGTGAGAAAGTGTATTTTTACTGACGATATTGCTTGGAAGTGAAGTTCACTGGTAATAAAATCAGGTACCAGGCTGTACAGGATAAAAATAATAAAATAAAGGTAACGAAAATAAAATGGCTTATATTTACCACTACGTTTTCAGCAATAAAGTTAATTATAAGCCTCATTTTTTATCAATTTTATCAAAACGTATCTATATACACATAGCTATAGCTCCTATTTATTTTGAGCATTCAAAAAAAATAATATTTCCGTTTTTATGGTGGGGAAAAAAAGTAGGGAGTGTAGGAGAAAGCAAGTATTAGGACGAGCAGGACAAAAGGAAGGGAAGGAGTATAGATAAAGGAGTATACACAAGCATGAGACAGAAGGTCCGTCGGAGTCTGATACCAGGTAACCCAATCAGCATCCCTGACAATCCTTAGCTTCCAAATGCCTGCACTTTAGGAGCCCCCACGTCCTATGCTAGGAGTGACTCTGCTCCAGAGAAAGACAAATAATCCAGCCAATAATATGAAGTTGTGTTTCTCTGTGTCTCTGCCTGAGTCATCATCAAGATGATTTTAAAATGTCCTCCACCCTAACTATCCTCCTGGACAAAGACAGGAAAGCCTCTGTGCAGTATGTTAATGAGATTGTTGCTTTAGTAGTGTTAATAAAGTAGGTAACCACTTCACTTCAGTACGCCTGAACCGTTTGTGGTGCAACAGTAGCACAGCATGAAAATAATCTGAAAATAACTCTATAGACCGCCTTCCAGAAGGTTTGAATATTGGGGCAAAAAAAAACACCTTAGAGTCTAAGGTGTTTTTTTCCCTTTTTCTAAACACCTGAGACACACCCAGGTAATCCTCAAATCCTGGACTGGTAGGGGGTCCTGAGGACTGGGTTGAGAACCCCTGCTTTAAAGTATAGCAGCATTAGCCTTTAGAGTATTAACTCGAGTTTTACCGATAGAGTCTTTTAGGGCAAGATTTACTTGCCTCGAAGAAGTTTTATAGATATAGGCAGAACCTATGAAATGGATAATATTTTAATATTTCCAGTTTTTGCAGTTTTTACAGGAAAGGGGAGAAGGAGAAGCCTTTGTTAAGTCCCTTTTGGCTTAAAGTCTTTAATCTATATATCCAGAAGGAAATTGGTCTTAAAAACTTGTCAAAATCACCTCTCCTGGTGATTTTTTTCACAAGTTCAAGGCCACAGAAATGCAAACCCTTGGAGTCTCCATCTTGGTGTTCCCTGAGGTGTCTAGAGATGGGGTTATCCACTGGATTTTTAGGAGATCTCACATGTTCCTGGATGCGTTTCTTAAATGGCCTGAAAGTCTTCCCAACATATTTTAAATTACACTGACAAGTGAGTAGATACACTAGACTGCTGGTGTTGCAGTTAAAAAAAGAAATGATTGTAAACTCTTCTATATCCTCACTGTCTTTCACCCTTTTTGATTTTTTGGGGGATAAATTTACAGTAGACACATCTACCACAGACAAAGCTACCAGTTACAGGGCTCTGAAGCCATGTGGTAGGTTGTTTTAGTTGTAGATGGTGGGGAGACAGAATATCCCGTAGATTTTTTCCCCCTACGTGCTGTGATAGCTGCATTGGGAGTCAATCTCTCTTTTAGGTGCTCATGGTTGGTGAGTATAGGCCAGAAACGTTGAAGGGACTCTTTTACCTTACTCCAGTCAGTGTCATAGGTGGCTATAAGTTGAATGATATTCAAATCTTCTGGTGCTGTAGGGATGATCTCATTTATCAAAGAGCTTCGGTCCGATTCTAACGCTCTCTTGTAGGCCCGTTTTAAACACTTATTGGGATACCCTTTTTCCCTAAAGTGTATTCTAAGGTCTTTTGCTTTAAGATTAAATTCCTCGATTGAGCTACAATTACGCCTAACTTTGAGATATTGGTCTCTTATTCTCTATTTACTTTAAACCCTTTTGGAACAATTGTAGGCAGAGAATCTTGAAATAAGCAATGGGGACTGGGCTCCTAGAATTTAAATGAGTAATCCATTACTTTGTCTTTACTTGGCACTTTTCTAGGTAGCTTACTCGACAGTAGCTCATTTGACTTATGTTTTTGCCTATTCGTTTGGATACACTGTTTCTCATTAGGACGTATTTACACATATAGGGGGGACCTCCATTATTACTTTACTTGTCTATGGAAATATGCAACTTTCAGCCAGTGATGAGTTTTATGCGGTCCTAACTACCTTTGTGTTCCTATCCTGCTGTTATTTCTCTAGCAATTAGATACGGTGGATTAATTTGGGATTTATGTGTCGTACTGGGGGTACTGTATACTTTTTCACGTGAGGGAGTGCTTTCATACAGGCTCTAATCATACTTGCTATATCTAGCCGTTTTCTTTCCCCTTTGTTGCCACATGGTTTCAAGCTGCCTCGGACACGTTACCTTGATTGTGCATTATACATCTGGGATTTTGGTATCGAAAGGGGGCGCTTATATGCCTTAATGGAAAGAATCATTACCACATTGAAAATATCATAATAAGAATATTTAGCCCTTTCTCCCCCTCCCGTTATTGAGTTGCAGTTATCCTAGACATCTATCCCTCTGTACCCCCCGCTATTAACGGTTAACACCACAAGGTACCCCTATACTTAGACTACATACAAAAGGAACTCCTAATTTTCCTTTTTGCCTTTAGTTTCCAACTGGTTGTCACGTGACTTATTACTAACCTGTATAATTATTCTCTAATTCACATATTGAGAGTTTTCCAGGGATACAATTCAGATGAGCCACAGGGATTCTGTCCTTTTTAAATCACTTGCACATTTTTTGTTTTATGGTTACATAAGTCCATAGACTATCAAGTATTATTCAATAAATATTGTTTTATACCTATACTATACTATCATTTCGTTCCGTACGAGTTACTATTACTATTTGTGGGTACACCTTTGGAGAGATTTTGAGGAAAATGGTTTTGTGCCCTTTATCCTCTTTAATTCTACGAGGTATTTCTTCTTTAATTGCTTATTCCATACTCCATATCTAGAAGTGCCATTGCACCCCCGTATATAAGCAATGTCAGCTGTGTTAAGGAAATCCTTTGGCGATGTATGTCACTACAAAAACTGATGAATCAGCAGGTGGACCATAATTTTTATTAAATTGATACTTCCTTTCTAGGTCAAAAGCCTGTAGGTCCTGCGTCAAACCCTCTAAAAAAGATGTAAAATTCAGGAGGTAAAGATGTGACAGGCCAAATGTGAACCATATTCCCAAATATTTCATCATGGACTGGCACGGGAGGACAGGACATTCCTTGAACCTAGTATGCTACCGTGTAGTGATATTCCAAAATTTGGATCTAAAGTGCACTTCAAGTTGGAGAGGGAACCGTAACTTTGAAACTCATCCATCAACATGAGCAGGGAGTCCATGTACACAATTACCTGTGATGAACACTACCCACCTGTATGCCTGCACTTTGTATTGGCATGCATGTGGATAATAAAAGGATCTAGGGTGAGTGCAATGAGCAAACAGATCTAAGGCATGACTGTCTCATCACATTATAGATATGTAATGGGTCAGAGAGGGTGCCTTTAATAAAAGACTGAAAAGACTGTTTCTTCATCCAAAATCATTGTGGATAAATGAACCCAAAATTATGGCCTTGTTTGCCTCTGAAACTGTTATCATGGACATCTTTGTATCAATATTCTTTGCAAAGAAATGCATGAGAACCCATCAAGTGTTTTCCATTATCTATGAATCCATCACTATAGCCTAATATTGTTTAAATGAGAGTTGTAGAGGGTGAAACAAAGGTGAAGTCAAGCCATGGGACAGTGAGCAATGATTCGAGAAATGTCAATATCTTTTAAAATGGAAAGATCACAGTGTTGCATGAAAAAGTATATGAAGCTTGTGCCATAGCATAGTAGTTAGAAAAGGACATGAAGCTTGAGCTGTAGAAAAGTTTATGAGGCTTGTGCCGTAGAACAGTATGTATAATCGTGATTCGAAAGATGAACAGCCTGCCAACAATCCACCAACTGGTATTTATGTAAGAGTAGATGTCAATTGGAAGTCATAGATCTGGTAAAATCCAAGGTATTCTTAGGTGAATGAAGGAGAACAGTGGAATCATCCTCCCTCCCTCCGTCCTTCACTACCTCCATACCCTGTATTGACCACACTTGTTGCATTCACAACTCTGAATATATGAGGGACATAGAGAATAGTAGACCTTGCAGAGTGGTTGTTAATAACAAATCCAGTGGGGTAGTGATTATCTGATAGAGGAGGCATGCTGTCTTCCCTGAAGTGACTCTCCAGGCGAAAGGCCATTGATGCCCTTTTGAGATGTGCAGCAACCGGGAGCACTTCTCAAAAACATTCAGACCCCTGGCATTAACTAACACAAGGATCAGTTTAGCAGCTACAAATGGTAAGCCACCTCTGCTGTGGGACATCTCTCACCTCTCTCTCCATTCCAGATTAGAAGGAGGAGGAAAGGAAGGGAAAGAAAAGTACAGGGGTATCAGACAAGGATAAAAACAATGCCATGAAAAGAGGGGAAAGGGAAAAAATATATAATTATGTACATTACAAACTCAATCCAAGTCCCAAGTGTAGTCTCAGACTATGCCACAAGGGTATGGCCTGGAAACATACTATACAAGGGGAGAGAACAGGTCAAAAATCTGGGAAGCATACGTAAAGTCGTTTGTTCCAGACAAACCTTAAACATTGCTTTTGAAGAAATTGTACCTAGCTGCTGAAGTCTTTAACCCCTTAAGGACCAAACTTCTGAATAAAAGGGAATCATGACATGTCACACATGTCATGTGTCTTTAAGGGGTTAAGCTGCCTGTAGGCCAAAAGTAATGCTCAAAGAAGTATGATATACCATTAACTGGATCCAAATGGTATACTGCCTGGGTAACCAGCACAATAAGGTTAAACATCAAATAGATATTTAAGACATGATACCCAAAACCAGAGCAATCCCCAACTTAAGACCCCCCAAAAATGCAGTAAAACCTCCACACTGCCCCCTAAGGTCCCACATAACCCATCTTTCCCTAACTGGGTCCACAACCCCCAAAACACCCCACCCCAAAATCCCAGAGAACATGTCCACCCCCCTCCCAAGCAAAATACCCCCCCTCCCAATTTGAGGATACCAAACCACCATGATCAATGCAGGAAACTCTGGAAAGCTTCACATTGTCTGAAGTCCAAACGTAGCTCTGATAAGGGATATGGGCACATTGGTGGAGGAAAGGACCCCACAAGTACCACCAGATCCTCACTACACCAACTGGTGCCCCTTTACCAATCCCAGCCCATCATTTAGATCTCCATGTGACCATTAGGATTTCCAAGTTTGTGGGCAGTGCTCCGTGCTTATGTGTGTTTGGTTCCCACTCTTGATGATGTCAGAGGAGGAGGATAAGAAGCTGGTTCTGTTTTTAACGCTTTAATTGCTACAGTGTTGGGGCACAAGGGAGATGGGCAGGCAGATGGAGACTATAGTGTTAGGAACACAGTTTTGTATTCCTAACACTATAGTGTTTCTGTAAACAAAAGAGGAGATTTATCAAAATTTTGAAAAATACTTATACTTTTTTACCCTTCTTTCTTTGACAAGCAGCAGATTATGCTGCTTTGCACAGAAAGTCCCTTCAGCTGTTTTACGCATCTGGTTGATGACCAAACAGCATGAAGTACATGATTCTGGGAGAATCATTTACCTCATATGACTCAGAACATCTTTAATTGATCTTTTTAAGTTGATAATCATCACAAACTCATATGCCAGTCAGATGTTAGAATGAGAGAGCATACTTACGGGAGTTGAATTATAATGCAGAAAACTGCATTTTCATTTTCAGAAATACTATACATAGTTGAGGATACACAAACTGCAGCATGCTGATCAGGCAGAACGCTATAAGGATGAAGCTGTTTGTGCCTAGAGCATCACTTTAAGGCCCAGACATCAGAAATCTCATTTTACTACTCTTGTCTTCCTTAAATTTGCATTATTTTACCAGTTCTGCATGTTCTAATGAATTGTAGATTTTGCTGAGTCTAAGAGTAGAGAATAGCACTTTCTGACCTCATATTACCTCTACTAAATATTCTACCTTGACTTACTAATAAAAATTGTTATAACCAAATATAGAAAATACATGGTAGAGTTTTCACTTGTTTAAATAGCTTTTAACATATTTCAGCATTATCATATTATTTTAGCCGGAATAAATAGGTCAGTTGCTTTAAAAATTAAGACATTTTTTTAAAAATAATTCTAGAGAAAAACAAACAACAATAGTCATATAATGTATATGTGGAATGTTTTTCATGATGTCCTGAACTGACAAGGACAAAGAAAAGAGTCAATTTGCTCAGACTTTTGGCTGTTTGCAATGAATAAATCAAACAAATGCAATTGAAATAGCTCAACACAATGAATGCTTCAAGTGGTTTCCCCAAATTCAACTGAAAATGCAACTTATAATGACTTCTCCGGTCTCAAAATTATACAACCCCCTGAATAGAATCCCTCACAACAGCAAAAATATGCAAAGTAGGTGTTGTTTTAAGCACACATAATGCAACTAATAAAGGGCTTCATTAGTTGTATCAGCTGTGCTTAAGTTTGAACATTTGAAATATCTGAACTGGCTAGGGGTTTGTTGACTGTCACTTGTGATTGCAAGTTAGAAATAAGTCAAACGAGTGGTACACAAAATTACGAAAATATATCCTCACCCTTCACAAACAAGGAACAGGATACAAAAAGATAGCAAGGGCACTAAATGTTCCTAGAGACACGGTTTGAAGCATAGTTCACAAGTTCAAAGTTGAAGGAACATTGTTTACCATAC